GCCCGACATAAGATCCAGGCCAAGTACCTGGACCAGGTGTGCATGCCCAGCCATCCACCCAGCCCTCAAACCTCTGATCTTGGCAGTGGGGACCCGGCCCATCCTAACCATGGCACCCCCAGCCATTTACTCCGCGCTCTGAGTCTTTGCTCCATCCTCCCTCTGACCTCTGCCCCAGCCTCCTGCTCTTCACCCCTCCTTCAGTCCCTTCCCCCTAATTCTGGCCGTGAAAGAATCGGGCTGGCCTAGCCTGGGTACCTCTGACCCTGGGGAGCCAGAGGTCCAGCCCTGGAAACTCTGACCTCACTGGCACCACTCCCACCTGTGACCCTATGAAGACTGACCCTGGGAGGCCCCCATCCCAACCCCTTCGATCTACCCACATTCTGTCCCTGACTGCAGCCAGGCCCCTGACCAATGTCCTCTGCCCCCTGCCCCGGCCACAGATGGAGGACCTGTATGAAGACTTCCACATTGTGAAGCTGCCTCTGCTTCCCCATGAGGTGCGGGGGGCAGACAAGGTCAACACCTTCTCTGCCCTCCTCCTGGAGCCCTACAAGCCGCCCAGCACCCAGTAGCACTGCTGCCAGCCCCAGCCGCTACCATTTCCACCCACTCTCCACCCTACCGGGGCAGAGTTTGCACAAAGTCCCCCCAGAGTACAGGGGGAGCCACTTGAGGTGGGAGGCGGGGAGGGGGTCTGTTCCCCCTGGTGGGGCTGGGGTGGCTGTAGCTACCCCTCACCTCTCCCCGCCTCTCGCTTCTCAATAAAATGATCTTAAACTACTGTGGGTATTGATACAAGGATTTTGGAGTCAGCACCTCCATGAACAGTTGCACAGGTTGTACTCTGCACAACGATGTCACAGCTAGAGGGATGCAGTCACAACAGACTAACAAAGATGCGTGTTTATTATGGCAATTTTGGAAGGTGGGTGTCTTCAGTAAGGGGGTGCTTTTTCTAGCTCTCTATGGGTAGGGGTGTCCCTGTCATAACGCCTGAATTGGCATATACCCCCTTCCTTTGAGGCTCAAAGGGTGTGGGAACCAGGAGGCCCATTGGTGTACCTCAGGCGGGTGGGGAGCGGATTAAGCAGGCAGCAGCCCAGTACCGCCTGCTGTTTGGTTTGGAAATTAGTGGGCACCCTGGGCAGAGGCTGGGCTGGCCAGACTAGGGATTAACAGTCTCCACCCCCCAATTCCTGCCCCTGTGGGATGGAATTCGCTCCACCCAGCACAGTTACAACCAGGTACAGATTAGGTGACATGATGGTAGAGGACTCAGGCCAAAGGTATCCCTGAAGTCCTAACTGTAGAGCCATCTCACTGAGTGGCCTCATGTTTTCCTATAGTTTGAGCTTCATCTCTAAAATGGAGGCAAGTGTGGCCATTCACAGAGCCATGGGACAACTTCACCTGGCCCTGGAAGGATCCGTCGGCACAGCACCCTGGCAGGCATCCAGTGGGCCCCCTTATCCCCTTCACTCCTCTCTGCAACTGCCTGGACAGCCACATTCGTCCCCACCTGGGGGACCCAGCACTGGCAGGACCTCATGTTTGCAGGTTCCAAGCCAGAGCTGGGTGGGGGTGGGGGAAATGGACAAGAGGTACCTGAGGACACGCATGAGTCAGGAAGTGTTCAAATTGTGCGCACCCAGGGTCTGGGTGTGTGAGGGTGTGCGTGCATGTAAGGGGAGCCCAGCCACAAGCCCAAACGTGTCCTGGACTCGACTGTACTGGGTGTGCACAAGCGGGTGTGGGCATGTTGGGGTGGCATTTGTAAACAGTGGCAAAGACCCCTGGCTCCCAGCTGAACCACCTGGGTTCAAATCCCAGCTGTGCCGTCAAAGGACTGTGTCATTTGAGCCTCAGTTTCCCTACCAGATAGTGGGAATGACAAGCACCAACTTCATAAGCTTGCTTGTAAGGACTCAGTGAGGTGAAATAAGTAACATCTTTACAGATGTTATTATTCGTTGTTACAATGAAGCCTGTGAACTAGCTTGGGCAACCTGCCCCTAGCCCAGCTGGTGTCCAGCTGTCAGAAGTGTGTGGGGACCCTGTGGACTAGAGGAGGGAGATGAGCGGGGAGGGGAGAAGCTGGCTGCAGTGTGTACAAATATACATCCTAGGGAGTGGGGGCCTCTGGTCAGGAATGGAGCTGCATCAACTTGAAGCCTGTCCCCTGCCCCCGCCCCCCACCCCTGGGGCCAACAGCTAGCAGTGCCAACCTGCATCCACTTTTATGGGCTGTCCGGCAGCTGGACAGCGAGGAGCAGGTTTGAGGGTAGCCAGCCTGGGCCAGTTCCTAATTACCCCAGGCGGGGCAGACATATGCCAGGCTTGGAACAAGGTGTCCTGGCTGACAGGGCTTCCGGGTGGAGCCTCGTAAAGCTATCCACATTCCTAGTGTACAAGGTGGACTGGAGGGGCCCAGGGTCTGGACCTCAGAGCTTTCACCCCTCCCACACCAGGCTGTGTGTTTGGGGAATGGGATAGGGAGGCTGCGTGTTTGTGCCAGGCCAGGAGTGTCCACTTTGTAGGTGTGTCTGTGAAGGGGGAACATATCTCCTGCCTCCATGCAAATGTGGGGACAAGTTCTTGTGTCCCCAAGCTTGTGTGTTCACGGCAATGCTGAGAGGGTCTGAGATCTGAGGTGTATCTATGGGGGACGGGGGTGCCTGCTCACGCACTAAGGGGGCATTAGAGAGGGGGGGTCTCATCAATGTGCAAATGCAGGCGAGTTTCATGAGTTATGGTATGACCCTGTCTGGATGGGACTGTGGAGGGTCTGTGGCTGTGGAGGAGGGGTCACTGTCGTATGCGTGTGTCCTTGCAACACTGACGGATCTGAGGCCCCCAGGAGCATGTGCAGCCGTGTAGAGGGCAGGCATTCCCACATCTGTTGTGTGACCACGGGTGTATCTTTGTGCAGGGAAGACCAGGAATAAATGTGCGCTACCACCCTCGCGGGATGGTGTGTGGCTGTGTGTGAAGACTCTCTGGGCTCTGGGTGGGGTCTGCGCTTAGCTGGTGTGTGTCCGTGTTGAGGGAAGCTGAACTTGTGCCCGGGTCTCTGATGTATGTTTCTAAGTACAGTACATCTTTGTGGCAGTATGATTACAGGTGACTATGGAGTGAACCAGCCCCCACTGAGCTGTGTGTGTGTGTGTGTGTGTGTGTGTGTGTGTGTGTGTGTGACTGGGAAGGACACAGTCCCCGCCCTCTCCTCCAGCTCTGGATCCAAGATCCCTTGGACCTGCCAGTGACTGCCAGGGAGAGAGACAGGGAGGAGCGAGGGAGGCTGGTTGGATTTCTCCCCCTGCTCCAGGTAACAAACTGGCCAGACTTCTACACATTTCTGAGGCTGCAGCCCAGGGGTGCGGGCCAGGGAGGGACTATCCACGCCCACTCAGCCCCCTCCCACTCCAGGGTCTGGCTTAAGCTACACCCAACGTTGAAGCCACCTGCCCATCTTGTCCCTGTGCCTGTGTGTCCTGCGCCTGCCATCAGGTGAGTAGGGCCCAGGGGAATAGGGGACCCTGAGGACAGGTGGGCTTGTGGGCAGGAATCAGGCAGGAATCCTTCAGAACCCTCAAAGCATGGAGTGGAGAGCTTGGAAGACTGGAGAATGAAGAGAGGACAGATCCAGGAGACCCAGAAGAAGGGGAAGGATAGCTAAGTGGGAGGGTGGGAGGCTGGGGTAGCTGTGCAGGAGAAGGGGCCAGCTTGAGGCCGGTGGGTGCAGGAGGGAACCTGGGGGCCTGGAGGCTTGAGGATGGCTTCCTAGGGCTTCAAACGGGAGTGCAGGGGTGGAGGAAGGGCAGAGACTGGGAGCTAGGGGGGGGGAGGGGGGACAGGTGGGATCTGAGAAAGGAATGGGGTGGGGCAGCACTTTCTGATCGACCGCAACTTCCAGGTGAGACTCCCTTGAGCCCAGACCCAGGCTCCCCAGGTGGCCCTGCGGAGGCACTGGGGACTCCGGGAGTAGGGGAGCTGTAGATGCAGCCCAGGTAAGGGGATGGGATGGGATGGGATGGGGTAGAAGGCAACTCGGTTGACTCAAGAGTTTGAGAGGTGGAGGCTGGTGAGGGCCTGAGGAGGTAGGCGCAAGATGTGGGGAGCAGGAGTCCAGAAAGGGGGTGGCCTGCGGGGGAAGGCTTGGGGAGGGCGGCAGCGGGATACGGGGCTGAGCAAGGCTGGGAGGAGGCTGGACCGGGGAGGTGGCTGGGCCGGGGCGGACACGTTGAGCTGAGTCAGACGTCCACCTCTGCAGTTCTTCTTCTATGCCGGCTGGCTCAAGGTGGCTGGGGCCCTGAGCCTGGGCTCCGGGAGTGGGGCGGGCAGGGGCTCTCAGGTCTCCGCTTACCTCCCTTCTCCCCACTCAGGTGGCAGAGCAGCTCATCAACCCCTTTGGAGAGGACGACGACGATTTTGAGACCATTTTATCTATTTCCAAATTAGATAACACGCTTCCATGACTCCCACCGCACTTAGGATAAAAGCTCAAGTCCTCTCCGCAGCTCACAAGGCCCTGAGCAACCTCCCTGCCCTTGTCTCCTCCCTTCCCCTCACTCACTCCACACTATCCCTCTAACCCACCCAGCAAGGTCTCATCTCAGGGCCTTTGACATGGTGCTCCCTCTGGCTGGATTGCTCTTCCCCAGATACCTACATGGCCCCTTCCTTACTCGCCTTCACGTCTCTGCTTAAATTATATCAATTCCTTGGCTTGACTTCTTTTGCTGGCCTTTTATTACAAATCCCCACTTCCTGGAGCATTTGAGATCTTGCTCCCCATCATGCTGTCAATTTGGTTCCAATAAATTATTATTACTTTTGCTATTGTTGTTAATCCTCACCCAAGGATATTTTTCCATTGATTTTTACAGTGTGGAAGGGAGAGGGAGAGATAGAGAGAAACATCGATGTGAGAGACACATCGATTGGTTGCCTCCTGCATGCATCCCAACCAGGACCAGGGAACCTGCCACCAAGGTATGTGCCCTAGACTGAAATGGAACCCTGGATCCTTCCATCTGCAGGCTGACACTCTATCCACTGAGCCTCGCCCCTCCTCCCGCACCCCTGCCCGCAGCTTCGTGCTGGCCGAAGGCCACAAGCGCTACTTCGAGAAGCTGGTCATCTACTGCGACCAGTACGCCAGCCTCATCCCCCTCTCTTTCGTGCTCGGTGTGTTCGCGCTCGAGTTCCCTGTGCCCCATCCCCCGGCCCCAGAAACCATCCATGCCTTTTGGGGACCCCCCACTCCTACCTCTCTGGGACGCCCCTCAAATCCATCCCCACAGACCCCCATTTCTGCGTCCTCTAGACAGATGTGGCCCCTTGGACATCACCTGGTCACCTGCCCCTTGAGAATCCCATGTCACCCGAGGGTTTGCCCCTGGCCACCTCGGGGACTGCGCCTGTGTCTGCAAAGATTACTAGTGCCCGCCCCTGTCCTGGCCCAGGAGCCTCCTCCAGGGACCTCACATGACTCTGTCCCCCCAAGTCCAGCCTAGGAAGTATTTCTCTGACAAGTCCTGGCCCCAGCCTCCTTCCCATGTGCTCTGCCCACGCGGGTGGGGTTACCAGCCTACGCCCCGACATGGATCCTGTGCCCAACCCCTTCGTATGTCTCTGGCCCAGGGGCTACCTGTTGCCTCTGCCTCCGCACTGAGACCCCAGGCCCCATCTCAGGTGACTCCCAGGTAACCAGAGTGACCCAGGCTGCTCGAGCCACTCTGACCTCAGGGCTAGACCCCCGAGCTCCCAGCCCAGGTGGCCAGCCTGCCGGGTGTTGCTGCTGCGGGCTCCATGTCACTCCTCTTCCCACAACCTGGGCCCACAAGCCCCTGCCCCGTGTCCCCAGCGAGCGCCCCTTCCCGGCTCTGCCGCAGGCTTCTACGTGAACCTGGTGGTGCACCGCTGGTGGAACCAGTACCTCTGCATGCCGCTGCCCGACGCGCTCATGTGCATCGTGTCGGGC